TTAACTCAACCTTTAACTCCAACCCTTAACTCAACCCTTAACTCCACCCTTAACTCAACCCTTAACTCCAACCCTTAACTCCAACCCTTAACTCAACCCTTAACTCCAACCCTTAACTCCAACCCTTAACTCAACCCTTAACTCCAACCCTTAACTCCAACCCTTAACTCCAACCCAACCTCAACTCTTAACTCCAACCCACAACTCAACCCTTAAACTCCAACCCTTAACTCCAACCCTTAACTCAACCCTTAACTCAACCCAACTCCAACCCTTAACTCACTGTATTTACTCTCATAGTTGTAATCGGAGCCTCCGCCGGGCGAGTTGTAGGAGTTGGAGTAGGAGTAACCGCCCTGGCCGTGCCCGTAACCCTTCTGCTTGCCCTGCCCGGGCCCGTAGCCGCCGTACTGGCCCTGTCCGTAGGGCTGCTGGCCCTGGTGGCCGGCGTAGCCGGAGCCGTACGAGGCCTTCTGGCCGCCGCCGTGCTGCTGTTTCTTGCCGCCGTGTTTGGGGGGCGCGGGGGCCGTGTAGCCGTCGCCGCCCTGGTAGTAGGAGCCGTAGCCCGAGGAGCCGCCGCCGCCGCCGCCGCCGCCGCCGCCGCCGCCGCCCGAGTTGGAGTGGCCGCCGTTGCTGTAGAACTGGCCTGGGTGGAGAGAGGAGGGGTCAGAGGTCACCAGGGGGGTTTTGGCGCTCTGGAGTTGTGTGGGAAAAATGGGGAGGGGGTTCTGGAGTTGATGGAGATCCCTTGGATCTGTGGGATCTCGCCCCGGTGTGGATCTGTCCTTGGGATTCTGTTCCCATCCAGATCCCCCCATCCGGATCCATCCCTGAGAGAGATTCGGACTCTCCACCCTGCACAGTCCCAGTAAATCCAGCAGGACCCATCCAAATCCAGCAGGATCCACCCAAATCCAGCCAGGATCCATCCAAATCCAGCCAGGATCCACCCAAATCCAGCCAGGATCCATCCAAATCCAGCAGGATCCAGCAGGATCCACCCAAATCCAGCCAGGATCCACCCAAATCCCCCCAGGACCCATCCAAATCCAGCCAGGATCCACCCAAATCCAGCCAGGATCCATCCAAATCCAGCAGGATCCATTCAAATCCAGCAGGATCCATTCAAATCCAGCCAGGATCCACCCAAATCCAGCAGGATCCATCCAAATCCAGCCAGGATCCACCCAAATCCAGCAGGGCCGACCTGGATCCAATCCCTGTGATTCCAGCAGGATCCATCCAAATCCAGCAGGATCCATCTGGATCCATCCCCGTTATTCCAGCAGGATCCATTGGGATCCACCCCGATGTTTCCAGCAGGATCCATTGGGATCCAATCCCTGCGATTCCAGCAGGATCCATCCAGATCCACCCCTGAGATTCCAGCAGGATCCATCCTAGGATCCAATCCCTGTGATTCCAGCAGGATCCATCCTGGGATCCAATCCGTGAGATCCCAGCAGGATCCATTGGGATCCACCCCGATGTTTCCAGCAGGATCCATCCTGGGATCCACCCCTCAACCCTACAAAGTCCAAACTCCACCCCGGAGCGAGAGACGCGATCCCCTCTGGAATGACGGCGAATCCTGTCCCAGGGATGAGGGATCCACACGACTGCTCCCTTGGGAATCCTCTTGGGAATTCCATCAGATTCCTGCTTTTTCCACGGAAAACCGGGAGCATCCGAAACCAAACTCTGAGGAATAAAAAGCCGCCGGAATCCGACCAAAACTCTGTAGGATCGGGAGGGATCCGCCAGCAACAAAAGGGGGCAGAATTGGGTTAAAAAGAGGGAAATTCCATGAGCTTCACTTCCACGGTTCCGTGGGAATGCCAGGATTGACCCCGGCTGAGTCCCAGCTCCATCCCCAAATCCCACGGCTTCTGGAAGCTTTAAATCCCGGGAATCCGTTAATTCCGGGCTCAATTCCGTGGATTCCTCGATTCCCGTTTTCCACGTGAAGTTTTCCTTCCTCTTCCACAGAAAATTCTGGATTCGCTCCGCAGATTCCAGGCTCTGGAGTTAAACTCAGCTCTGCTGGAGCCACTTTGGGGGGAAAATCCCGGGATTTGGATCCAGAAGGAGCGTGAGGGATGAATCCCCTTCAGTTATCCCGGATTTTCCGCTCGATCCCAACGTTCCGAGTTTAAATCCGAAGCTTTAGCTGCGATTTTCCCCAGATCAAAGCTCGGGGATGGAAATATCCGATTTTTTCCAACTTGGGAGAGATTCTGGAGTGAGAGGATTCTTAAGGATCATTTATGGATCATCCAGGATGGGATCTGATAAAGAACCAGGACCTCCAACAACTTCTTTTTCCCAAAAAAATGGGATAATTATTATTATAAATATTATTTTAAGGATGCACTGAACCCCTTGGACTCAGTTTAAACCTGGAGCTTCCTTTTCCTTCTTTTTCCGTTAAATCACGGAATTAAAACAACTTTTAAACCCAAATTTCACACCTTTAAAACAGGCTGGATCAGATCCCTCTGGGAAAAATATTCCCAAAAAACCCGATCCAATCCCTGGGATTTATTAAAAAACTTGGATTTTTTAAAGAAAAATCCTCGCCGCGAGCTAAAATCGACCAAAACGCTTCGATTTCCTTAAAAACCAAGGATTGATTTCCACAAAAAAACCCCAAAATTAACAAAATTCCACCTCCCTTCAGCCACTTTCCTGGGAATTTTTAATCCCTTTTTGGGATTTGGGGTGGAAAAGGAGCACTCACTGTAGCCGGCGGTGGCGGAATTCCCTCCGTAGCCGTAGCTGCCGTAGCCGGCCCCTGGAGAGGAAGAAAATGTTGGAATCAACATTCCAGGGGTGAAATGTCCTGAATTTGGGAGGGGTCATTAACCCATGGAGGGATCTCTGGGAAATAAAAATTATATGGATACGATGGGAGAGGGGGATTTGATCACTCAGAGGGATTTTGGGGTCTCTGGAATTCCCAGAATTCATGGACACGATTCCAGAGCGGGATTTGTTCCCTCACAGGAATTTGGGGTCTCTGGAATTCCCAGAATTCATGGACACGATTCCAGAGCGGGATTTGTTCCCTCACAGGAATTTGGGGTCTCTGGAATTCCCAGAATTCATGGACACGATGCCAGATTAGGGGGATTCGTTCCCTCACAGGAATTTGGGGTCTCTGGAATTCCCAGAATTCATGGACACGATGCCAGATTAGGGGGATTCGTTCCCTCACAGGAATTTGGGGTCTCTGGAATTCCCAGAATTCATGGACACGATGCCAGATTAGGGGGATTTGTTCCCTCACAGGAATTTGGGGGTTCTGGAATTCCCAGAATTCATGGACACGATGCCAGAGGGGGATTCATTCCCTCACAGGAATTTGGGAGCTCTGAAATTCCCAGAATTCATGGACATGATGGCAGAGGGGGATTCAATCCCTCACAGGAATTTGGGAGCTCTGGAATTCCCAGAATTCATGGACATGATGGCAGAGGGGGATTCAATCCCTCACAGGAATTTGGGAGCTCTGGGAAATTCAGATTATATGGACGTGATGGGAGAGGGGGATTTGTTCCCTCACAGGGATTTGGGGAGCTCTGGAATTCCCAGAACTCATGGACACAAGGCTAGAGGGGGATTCATTCCCTCACAGGGATTTGGGGGTTCTGGAATTCCCAGAATTCATGGACACGATGCCAGAGCGGGATTCATTCCCTCAGAGGGATTTGGGGAGCTCTGGGAAATTCAGATTATATGGACGTGATGGGAGAGGGGGATTTGTTCCCTCACAGGGATTTGGGGAGCTCTGGAATTCCCAGAATTCATGGACAAGAGGCCAGAGCGGGATTTGTTCCCTCACAGGAATTTGGGGAGCTCTGGAATGCCCAAAACCCACAAACACCACACCAGATTAGGGGGATTTGTTCCCTCACAGGAATTTGTGGGTTCTGGAATTCCCAGAACTCATGGACACAATGCCAGAGGGGGATTCAATCCCTCACAGGGATTTGGGGAGCTCTGGAATTCCCAGAATTCATGGACACAAGGCTAGAGGGGGATTCATTCCCTCACAGGAATTTGGGGGTTCTGGAATTCCCAGAACTCATGGACACAATGCCAGAGGGGGATTCATTCCCTCACAGGAATTTGGGGAGCTCTGGGAAATTCAAATGACATGGACACGATGCCAGAGGGGGATTTGCTTCCTCACAGGAATTTTGGGGAGCTTTGGAACACCCAAAACCCACAAACACCACACCAGATTACGGGTTCATTCCCCCACGGAAAGTTCTGGAATCTCCATGTGTCGAGGATGCGATCCCAGGAGGGAACACCCCGGAATGCCAGGGGGGCTCTGAGCCCCCCCAGGTGCTCTGCTGACCCTCACCTGTGTTCATGTAGCCGCCGTGGTTGCCCCCGAAGCCGCCCCGGCCTCTCCCGCGGCCCCGGATGTTTCCGCCCCGGCCGCGACCCCTCATGTTGGGGGGCGGGGGGGCCTCGTTGTGCATGGGGCCTCCCCCCATCCCAAATCCTGGATTGTGCTGCTGAGGGGACAAGGAGAAGGGAGGGAGGCGTCACTTGGAGCTGGCATCAAGGATTTCCCCCCCCCAAAAAAAAATAATCCCAAAACCCAGGATGCCGCTTCCCCCGAACGGGAGCCGCCGGGGTGGATCCAAAACTCAGAAACCTCCAAATCCAGAGGATTTTTCCTGGAAAAAACTTATGGGTTTTGTGTTTCCAAGCTGTTTGCTCTGCTCCCAGGAAAGGATTTCTGTTTCCAGGAAAGGATCGTAGCCCAGAGCCAGGGGCCAGTGAGTTACACCCCAGAGTTAGACCCCGGGTCTTTTCCCTTTCCAGACCAGTTCCCACTGGTCTTTTCCCTTTCCAGACCAGTTCCCACTGGTCTTTTCCCTTTCCAGACCAGTTCCCACTGGTCTTTTCCCTTTCCAGACCAGTTCAAATCCGTCTTTTCCCATTCCAGACCATTTCCCATTGATCTTTTCCCATTCCAGACCATTTCCCATTGGTCTTTTCCAGCTCCAGACCAGTTCAAATCCATCTTTTCCCATTCCAGACCAGTTCCCATTGGTCTTTTCCAGCTCCAGACCAGTTCAAATCCATCTTTTCCCATTCCAGACCAGTTCCCATTGATCTTTTCCCACTCCAGACCATTTCCTGTTGATCTTTTCCAGCTCCAGACCAGTTCAAATCACTCTTTTCCCACTCCAGACCATTTCCAATCAGTCTTTTCCAGTTCCAGACCAGTTCCAGACTTTTCCTACTCCAGACCAGTTCAAATCAGTCTTTACCCATTCCAGACCAGTTCCCATTGGTCTTTTCCCACTCCAGACCAGTTCCCATTGACCTCTTCCCATTCCAGACCATTTCCCATTGGTCTTTTCCCACTCCAGACCAGTTCCCATTGATCTTTTCCAGCTCCAGACCATTTCCAATCACTCTTTTCCCACTCCAGACCACTTCCCACCGATCTTTCCCCACTCCAGAGCTGTGGGATTGGGAATTTCACTCACTTTGACCGGGAATTTGGGGCCACCCCTGGCTGCAACGGGGGCTCTTTTCTTCTTGTTCTGCTCGATGGCAACGGGAGCATCTGGGAACAGCTTCTCCAGCGCGGCCAGCGCCGCGTACGCTTTGGCCACCTTCTTGTTTGAGCCGGCTCCTTGGAACTTCTGCCCGTCCACCTCCACCTTGGGAAGGGATGGAAAAACACGTTGGAAGTGGATAAAAGTCAGGAAAAGATCGGAGAGCTCCGGGGAATCCCAGAGCTGGAATTGTCACAGGCTGTCCTTGGCAATTAATGAGATTTAAATGATTTTCCCAACCCAAAACACTTGGATTGGATGATTTAAACTCTTGGGAAGGGATGGAACCACACGTTGGAAGTGGATAAAAGTCAGGAAAAGATTGGAGAGCTCCGGGGAATCTTGGAGCTGGAATTGTCACAGGCTGTCCCTGCCCATTAATGAGATTGGAATGTTTCTCCCAACCCAAATCACTTGGATTGGATGATTTAAACTCTTGGGAAGGGATGGAACCACACGTTGGAAGTGGATAAAAGTCAGGAAAAGATTGGAGAGCTCCGGGGAATCCCAGAGCTGGAATTGTCACAGGCTATCCCTGCCCATTAATGAGATTTAATTGTTTCTCCCAACCCAAATCACTTGGATTGGATGATTTAAACTCTTGGGAAGGGATGGAACCACACGTTGGAAGCGGCTAAAA